ATTATGAATAAAAATGTTACGTACCACTTAGCAGTATCATAAGAGAAATAATTTTCGATTAAAAATATAGGTAGAACATCAAAAACAACTCTTTTGCTAAAGATTTCCATTATAACACTTTTGTCTTTTATTACAGATTTCAAATATTGAAATTTTTTCTTCAAAGTATAGCACATTAATGATAGCAATGGTGCTAAATTAGCTTTACAATATCAGAAAGTACTGAAATTACAACAAATAATTACAAGCAAACTGCAGTTTTCCACCAGCTTTAGACAATTTTGAATCATTCACAGCATCTAGTAACTTAAACGCAATAAAAAAAGAAGCACTTAGAGTTGCAGACCTTAAGCAATGATAATAAGAAAAGCTACGACAGTTCAGAACAATTATTAGTCACTGCCATTCAACAGCGTACAAAAACTGGCTCAAAAAAAGTTTAAAGCAATCTTCTTTGGTTCTATCTCGTTTAGAAGTTTGATATCGTATCAAAAGTAAATTAAACACTCAGTCTATTAGCAGTTCTTACAGTTTCGTGTACCAAGATTACTGTTATCAATTTATAAGTGTCAGCAAACATTTGCAAAACATAGAGAATCCTCTGGTTAATAAAATAAAAGCTACAACCAATTTTTGAAATCAGCTTTGACAATTAGTCTTTTTTACTTAATATAAGAAATAATTTGAAGTTTTTTTCAAGAATACAATCGCTTAAGCACAAATTTAGTAAAACTTTTGAACAAACCGCTCGTCTTTGACACTTTGAGGCGAAATCCCAAGCTACTTCTGAAACGGCCTCCAATGCTGCCATAGAAAAAAACAATTTCATTGTACGTAAAGGTAACATTACTAGTATGAGACTTTTAAGTAGAGTCATAAAAACTGTTACAAAACCATAAAAATTTTGGTTTAAAATTATGTAAATTGAATAAATTCGCGTAATTAAAAAACAATCTCTTTTCTAAATCTGAAGACTCTAATGCAAACAGATACTCAAAAAAGACAGAACTCTGGCAATTGAACTGAAATCCCTCACTTTCTACATCCATCTTTGTTGCATGCCCTTGATCAGCAGAAAAATCCAGAAATTTTTGCTTATTTCTTTAGATCACCTATAGAAAATGACATAAAACAACGCAAGCAACTTAACTGAAACACTTAAAATACATATACGTCTTTCAGTTCCTCTGTATTTGCTCTTGCTGTAGAATGCAAACTAACCTACAAAAATCTCCTGCTTCTTCGCCAGTTGTTCTAGCTCAGATTCCAGCCAAAAAAAAAAGCAAGCAAAAACCAGTTTTATTCCTAAATTAATCAAAAAGATGATTTATAGATACTGTCAGAGAATTATAATTTAGGTAACTCATAGAATTAATACTCTTTTTTCACAATATAGGAAAAACATCAATCACTAAAATGAAAATAAGACATAGAGACATAAAAAAGCCTCTCAATAAGCGGCTCAAAATTTTTAGCAAAAAATATTAGTAGAACCGTGACTTAACGACCACAGAAAGCAACTGCACTTGCACATTGCCCGATCCGCAAAAGGAGCCCCCCCTATTTAGCATCTGCTCCGGTATGACTCCAAAGGGTCGCTTTTGAAAGCAAGCCGGATATAGCTGCCTACACGTGCCAATAAGCGAAACATTGCCAACCGGCTGAGCTTCACATTTTACGAGAAAATTGTAAATTATTCCGGAAAGCGTTGCAACTGAGCGTAACGACTTGTGTGGAAAAAACTTCAAAGTATTGCCCTCTTGACTGTGCGTTAAATTTAAAATTTTGTTCTTGTTAATTAAATTTGTTGTATTATTCCAAAACAACTCTAGTACTTAGTTCAAGCTTGCCTTTATTCTTAGATTGTAGTATTCTGAGGTAAACAAACGAATCAAGATATAGCTTTTTAAAAACGAAAAAGGGGAACAAACATACTTGACTCTGAATAAAGGCAAACCGCTCTCCATTAAGGGTAGTACTAAGCAAGCTAGGTTCTACTCATCGCAGCAGCAATCCTTATCAAGGTTGGGAAGAAGTTATCACTTGAGTAGAAACTGCTACAAGAATTAAAAGGTAGCAGTAACTTAAGAGAGTAGGAACTAGTTGCATGGAGCAGAGGTAGAGACAGTCCTCTGAAATTGTGCATCTTTGTGAGGCAATAAACAACTATTCACGTCTTAGAAGGAAACAAAGGGAAGAGATAAGGTTTCCCACAGTGACATATAGAGGAAATCCTGTAAAGAATATTCTCTCGATTTTGAAATTCTGTCTGTAGCCGCGACAACCAGTCAAAAAATTTGATACAAAACTGCTTAAAACAGTAGGTGACCCAAGAATTCACCATCAAATAATCGTTCTAATAAAAGTCACAAAAATCGCAGCTGCAAATGTGTCCTATCTCGACTCCCTCTCACATTTCTAAACAAGAAGCAAAATGACTATTTAATTTAAAATCCGTTTGAAACTGTAAAACCTAATACAAAAGTAAAAAGTCGCACGGTAGAATATATTATTTCTAATGTCGAAAATATAAATTATTCACACAGTTCATCACCAAAAAAATTATTTTTGTTTCCTTTGAATTTTTTTCTCTTTTACAATTTAATTGAATAAATTTTCCTTGCTCCTTACTGTTTTCAAACGCAATATTGAAAAAAAAAAATTATGTACAGATGAGAATACCTAAAGTCCAAAACCTGTTGCTTAACATTCCAGAACAAAATATTTTTGTACTTAAAAAAAACCAGAAAATGTAATATTAACAGACAGTAGTTTAGCTTTACTTGTCGTAGTCTCAAAATGAAAAAAAATCATTTCGACCCTTCAAAAAAGGAAGCTAAGATACAGATGCCTCATTTCCTGTTGTTACAAGAAAACTCATTCAGTTTATGCATTCAGAACATCTAAACTGCGCGAAAATATAAGACCAACAAAAAGAAAACTAAACTTCTGAAAAATAGAAAAAATAAAATATGAAGATCTCCTTCGGATATAAAATACCCAAATAAAACTCTTAATATCTTTTCACTGATCTTCAAAACAAATTTGACCAAAATCATTCCAGACTCCTGACTAGACGCCTGCCCATCTTTCCAGATTCCATCTCCTGACTTGATATCTGTGCTAACTAGCCGTAGTCAACCACAGCCAAGTCAAACCATCCAATAATTTCAAAAATTCCTGTCCACCTGCGATGAAACACAAAGCGACAGTTCCCTGCGAAGACATATTCCATCGCAAAAGTAACCCTAAAACTTGACGCCAAAGACTGTAGCTTTTTAAAATGAAATCGTGCAAGGCGTATATAACAATAATTAAAAGAAAAAACGCCTCTTGAAAAAAATTTTTCCTTCTTAAAACTAGGAACGGTGAAAAAGCTACAACATTAGAGGCTGTAAATCTACTGCAACCACAGTCAAATTGTCTATGCAAACAAATGTTGACCTAGAAAGACAAAAATAAATTCGCCAGAAGCAAACCCAAAGACCCAAACTCTACTCCCCTACCTTGTCAAATCCCGAACTCTAACGCACCTAACATTTTTCTTATTAACGCCAAATCCCGCTGACAAATAACGCCACTTGCAACATCCACATGCTACTCAAACTTGTTAAACGGCAGAATACTAAAAAAACCATTTGTTAACTACAGAAAAACATCAAATCCCCCACACGCAACCAACAGCAACTAACACGTAAAAACACCGAGCAGACCAACTTAATGAACTGACAACTTCCTAAACATCAGTTCCCCAGTGATCCACCCAACGCAACATTTCCACCGCTGCCCCGGTCCTTAAGAATTCACAACTACCGCATCAACTAATTACTCCCATCAAGCACCAACCAAATTAAAAAATTAAAACAGCTTCTCTCCTGGCCCAAACCCAGAATTACTAACCGACATCCCAATAACCCCGTTTAATTCCAGAAATCCCTTTCTCCTGTAACACCTGACCTTACTCGTTTCAGAAATTCCTGTGCAACAAAATAGTTTTAAAAAAACTGTCCAGTAAAAAATGCAGCTACGCGCCAAGTGAAGCACTCAAACCACCTCGAAAAATCTTCAACAAATTAAAAAATTAATAAAACCAAATTTTATTTTACAATTCCCCAAAAAACTTCCTACTTATCAAACATAACGCAAAATAGACAAAATCATAAGTGTAAACACGTATCACAAAATAAAAAAAAAAAGAAGATGAAACTGAAAAACAAACAGAATGTTTATGATTGCACAAATAATTGAGGGCATCAAAATCATACAAAATGAAAATTTAAAAGCTCCCCAACCCCTCGAAAAAGCAACCATTAAATTAAAAACTAGAAAGAAAAGTCTTAACCACGATAACATCTCTAAACCTTTCAATAGTTACTGAAAACTTCAAACAACGTCCACTGCAAACTAATTCAAAATAAACTTCTCCCACTAAAACATATATAAACAATTATCACAACAAAACGGAAGTCACAGCATGGCGACTTACCAACAGGACCAAAACAGCTAATTCTCGCAAAAAAAAACTTTCGCACAGTGAATCATCAGTTCTAACTGATGTCACTTTTAACAGCAACTAAATCTTGGTCAAACACATCTAAATACGAAGTGACGGTAAAAGTTCAAGAAAACCCGCAAGAAAGAAACAGAATTGTTATACCGCAGTATCAGAAAAGACAGTATAGAAAAGTATACAAGGCATCCCTGACAATTTCTACAAAAAAGTCTCAGTAGTTAAACAACCGAACACAACTTTTTAGACGCCATATCAGGTAAACCAGAATCTGAAGTGATATATAAAGATATGAAAAAGTTATATTACACCAAAAACGTTAGTTACGGTTTTTTATAATATAATGAGAGCTTTAAGTATCCCTCTCATAATTGAAAAATGATCAAAAAAGAAAGTCATAATACACAAAAAACAGTACTTTATAGAACGGTCACTGAAATATGTGTCAGCGCAACAGTTTCAGACAATAAGGATAAAATAAATTTGTGTACTAACGCCCGGAACTTTGAAACAAGGCAGCAACGTCACTGAGCTGCTTAGATATGTTCATGTAAAAAGCCGCTTGCTTGTGCAGGAAGTCTCCCATCATTTGATTGAAATCTTGCGCACGTTCATGATGTTGGAACTGAATCTCGGAAAGTACAGCATAGCTAACAGAATCAACCTTCTGACGAACTTGTTCTAGTTCATCAGCCGGGATCTTGCCATCCATTTGTGACTTTTCATGTTCATGTAGTTTGGACATAGCAGACTAAAAAAATTATGAATTACAATTAATCTACCAATTATCAAAGAACTTCAGCGCCTTAAAGAATACTAGAAAATTTATTGATCTCAAAATCCGATACAAACTCCTCGTACCTTGTGTACGCTTACAATTTCTGGCATGTTGGCAAGAAGCCCTCTGTAAGTGTAAAGTGAGTCCATGAGCGGATCTATATCTCTCTTTGAACTTTCTTCGTGTTGTTCACCAATTTTGTGATACACTTGAGCACATTCCTTTAAAGCAGCAGTAACATTTTGATTTTCTGAAAAAGAAGAAATATACGGTGCAAGCTTTAAACAAAGACGGTGGCAGAAAACTGTATGTATAAAAAATCCATAAAAACTTAATGACTTACCTGGTCCGGTATCCAACTCAAAAGAGTGACCTAAGCCCGCAAAAGCTGTTGCTAACTTCTGCCAGCTCGTTTTATAAGCTGAAACAAAACTTCCAGTAAGGAACTTTTTTCAGTACAATCAGCCCTGACTTTGTAAACAATTGAAACTTACGTCCTCCCGTCCTCACATGCAAATCCTTCACTCGATCATACATCACTCTGACGCTATCTTCAAGGCTTCTCACGCAACGAGAGAACGATTCAACTTGACGTTCGCTAAAATAAAAAACCAAATTTAAAAAATAAGTTCGTAGAAATAAAACTTAGCTTCAGGTAGAAAAATTAAGTAGCAACTTTTGAGGCTTAGTTGTCAACAGTATAAAACTCACACATCTTTTGTATTTAACTCTTCTGTGGGGACAGTGACACAATGCAAAAAATTTCCTCCTACATATTCGTCTTTCTCAGCCTTCCTTTTCCCATTTTTCCACTGCTTCTCATCCGTACAAGTAAGAAAATGAATCCAAACGTCTGATTTGCTAAGAACAGGATGACGGCAAATTTTATTTACCCAAAGCTGAAGAATGTTTTTCCGATGTTCAATTAGGTCTTCTTCATACCTTCCTAGAAAGCCAAGTAATAACTTCCCTCAACTTCTTATTACAAAACTTTCATCTCGGCATTAGTTGACAAAGCTACCATCATCAAACAAAAGACTGATATTTGATATGCAGATAAAAAAAACGATTTACCTGCAACCTGCTTTTCTGGAAGCGGTGGAATTGGAGTAAGAATATATTTAGCAGACAACTGTTCATGCAACCAGTCAAAATGTTTGTAACGCCTCGACACCTGAATTAGAATGAGTAATTTGAATAAACAGCGGTGACCTGATTAGTATTTAGTCGCCAAACAAAAACTCAATTTTGCAAGCTTGACGTAGGCACCTGAATGCCACTAAGTGACGAAGTAACACTATAAGCGATAAAACTTTTCAGGCCCTTTAACTTAGATTCCTTTTTCGGCTTGTCAACAACACAACTATAGGGTTGAGTGATAGGTGCCCAACAAGGACCAGCAGAAGTCAGCTGAAACGAAAACACATCTCTTACAGATTGAAATATAGTTTTGTTATTACGCTACAGTAAGAAACTTTCAGCAATTAAATAAATCCTGCCGTCTCCAACTTTTATAATAAAACAAATAAGGCATAGCCTCTAAAACTGTGGTCAATATTTTAAAAAAATTTTGAAGAATTCTGAAAAACGTACAACTATTTCGTGGTGTTCGTCTGTCCTGGTAGTCATTTTTGTAGTGGAAAGAATGTAACCTTCCATTCCAGACTTTACAAAATTCGAAAACCTTAAAAATGATCTTGAAGCTTTAGAACTAAAAAGTCACTAATAAACGAAAAAAAATAATATTCAATTTCTCATCCCCCCAAAAGCTTGTTAAAGTTTTAACTCAGCTTCTTTGTACGAATTAGAAAGTTTGAATCGTTCGGTTTTTGAAGAAGTGATACAACAGCGATCTAAGGTAGAAAAACAATACTTCCTTTATTAGAAAACAATCAGTAACTGTTAATAAAAAAACTTCTGAAGCCAGAAAAGTAAAACCCATATACCTGTTCATACTCTTCATCTTGATAGTCCTTGAAGACGATGCATCTGGGCCAACGGAACGAGTGAGTCCAACAGTGCTATGATAGCCAGCAACCGTTCCACTCTGACCTACAGATTCCTGAAAAGGCGAAGCACAGCCAATATGAAACTGTAACAGAAATAAGATGCTAGAGATCTATTCTAAGATTGTGATGCAAGGCAGGAGGATTACACAGTTGCAAGCAATAAAGAAAGTTTGACTAAAAATCAGTAAGTCGTAAGAAAAATTTTTTCCTGATAAATTCGTGTAAGTACTCCCAACTAAAGTTTTAAAAAACACCTAATATTCAGAGCTTCCCAGCTAGAGTTAACAATTTGAAGGAAACTGAACAACTCATTAACTTCCAGAAGACACTAAGGATTTACTAAAACTAATGTCGTGAGCAACGTGTTTAAAATAGAATGATAACAGGGTGAAAGGTTAAACAGTGCTACGAATGACGACCACGCATCGAGCAGACTAAACTACATAGCATCCTTACTGATTTTCTTGCGTAAACTTTTGTTTTCGTAAACTCTTTAACACTCTCATCATCCGTTGATATATCAGTTCTTGAACCGCTTGTATTACGAGAACTAGAACGTATAAATTCTGTTGGTTTTTCATTCGTTACATTCTGTCTTGTGCTTGCATCCTACAATCTCATAGAATTTCGTTAAAAATTTTGCTTCAAAAAAATTCAACAAACAACCAGAAAGGGGAGCATACAGTTGACGAGTCACATGATGAGCTGAAATACAACTGTAACAAATCCCAATCACTACGGTCTGGAGAGGTCATCCAAGATTCTACACAACAAATAGGGTGACGCCAAAAGCAGAATAATCTAAGAGATGAAGGTGAAAAACACATCAAAGGCTAAAGTCAAGGCGCTGAAAAAAACTATAGAAAGAGAAGCAAATAGACGATTTAGGGATCGACTAAAATAACAGTTGCAAACTACACTAAATAATGATTTAAGAGAAAGAAAAACAATACCAACATCAACACCCGATGTAAGTTACAGCGACAAACACATACAAAAACTCACTGCGCAAGAAATTCCTAAACTTAAAAGTCAATTTAATTAATGAAAACGGCTAAGAAGTTATGAAAAGCAAACTGTGTAAAATAAAAAGTGACGCACGCCAACAACTCATTGATTTGTTAACATGAGTGAATAAAATAATATTTGCCTAGTTAAGTGTTGTATGTACCATGTAAAAATCTTTACGTTAAAATGCATGCCTTTTTCACCCCGAATGGCGCCATCCAGTTTACGCGTTGGTCACAAGATATACAAAAAATATTTCGCTAACAGAAAGAATGCATATCAAGAAATGACATTGAAAAGCACTCGTCTAATATGCTACAGGTATGAAGCAAAGTCGAGTCACTTGAACAAAATTTAAGCACAGAAACGGAAGACTGACTGAAATAAATTTTAAAAAAGTGAAAGCTGTACCAATCCAGCAAAAGAAAAGGTAAAAAACCGTATTAAGCAATACCTCTTCATCATCTTCTGTCCAATCATCAAAATCATCATCATCTAATGCTTGACTGGTGGCTACGGGATCAGACTGACACCCAGATAGAACTGCATTCTGTAATTCCAAAAGTTTATCAACAAAAAGTCCTTTCTAGTATTAAGTTTACAGAGAAATTATTCGTCATAGAAGATTAAATACTTCCAGAAATGATTACTCTCATAGAATATTCCCAACTAAGAAACTTACCTGCTGTACGAGAGGTTTGTGAGCAGCAGGAGGAGGAATACCCCAATCGTCATCTCTTGACAAAGGCGCTGCATAAGGATGGGGCAATTGTTGCGGTTTCAGCATAGCCTGAAAATAAAAGATTACAAATCTGAGTAAAATAACGTTCCAAACAATAAGAATGTAATTGACAGAATCGAGCATATAGTTCTTTAACTTTAAACTCCGACTTTACGCTTTATAAACCCTTTCAGCAATCTGTAGGCGACTTAAAAAAACCTTAACCGCCCGAAAAAGCAGCCAAATCAGCATGAACTGTCAAAGAGCAAAAAAAAAAAGCAATTAATAAAAATTTGCCGGTGCTGTCGTCGGTTGCGGGTTTATTTTCACAACATAGGATTCCGGAAAAAGTCCGTGCTGGCCTTTCGAATTCATTCCCTCCAACCATCCTCCTTCGATATTCTTTAAAATGTTAATAATTTAATGCTACAATCACCAAAACAAATCATACTGAGCTAAAGGCAGCTCATTCACAAACCAAGTTTGATAAACAAATAAAAAAAAATACGTAGATGAATTAGCTACAGGTCAAAGCTAGATTTAAAACTTCAATTAGAAAAAAGATAAAGCGTTTTTCAGTACCTCTTTAATAACCGTTAATATTTCATCCACAGATATGGAAAGTTCACCAGAATGAGGTTGTGCCTCAAAATCGTAAACGGCACGAACCTGCATCACCTCGCTGTTTGGAAACCAGGCCTACATAAAAATCAGATTCGCTTTTCTAATAAAATGAAAAAAGAAGGTAAATGAAAGCACCTGTTCTTAAACCGAACGACCTGCGACAAAGGAACAAAGTTTAAAATTTAGGAAATAATTTTTAAACGAAAGTTACCCCAAGCATCATCTATGACAATAACAAGTAGCAAAAAATGTACTTAACTAGCATTCAAAAAACGAATACACGGCAAAGCAAAACAGCAAGTTATCTACCTACAAGACCCTCCACACTAAAATTATTATTACTCCAAGACTCCTACAACAGCAGTTATCACTGCTCAACAATGTTATGAGATTCACTATGAGAATAACCGAAAATAAAACCAAGACCAATGAAGCAACATTAAGCAGTTAAGTAACTTGCCACAAACAAAAATCTATCACTTTTAGCTTACTACAACCAAAGCAAACGTTACATCTTTGCTGAAATTTTGTATCAATAAAGATAAAGAAAGTTTTACCTGAACTAACTTCCAGCAACTCAAAATTTTGGAAAAATAACATGGCAGCCAAACACATATTTTATATTTTAAGAATTATACAATTCAAGCAAGTGCAGAAGACGCCTGAGGATTAAAAAAGCTGACCAGCTGTCTTCCCGACAAGTTACTGAAAACTAAACAAATACTAAAGAATATAAATCAAACTAAAGTTTCAAATTTACTTCTACTGCAGATATTACAAATCATTAACTATGCTGAGGATTCATTTCTAGTTTTCTTTTGGTTTTCACCACTGCCCATCCATAGATACAAAATACACACTCATACAATCTTATGTGATCCATTAATTCCTCTTTAAATAACCAAAAAATCAGAAGAGGAGTAAAACAATCCAGAGACCTAATGTGGTCGTGACCTGTAAAAATGCCTACTTTTCAAGTCACTTTTTTAAGGCAAAATAATTTCACCGTCAGTCTAGCAGTCATAATATAAAGCTGCGGGCGAAAGAAAAGCAAAAAAAACTCATCGATAGAAAAGAGACAAAAGTAATAACTGAATATTAGTCGGTATTCATATGAAAAAACAAAGTGCATATTTGATCAAATTGGGGTTAATAAATAACAAGAAAAAAAAAGAAAACTAATACTGGCACCTCACTTGAACGCTATAAAAGTATATGATAACAATCTTAAAGGCCACGTAACATAATGCATCGAGCAAACAGGCCTTGATTAGACGTGACTCATAAACAAC